TACCCTCTGATGTTTTCAGGGAATCCTTCTCTACCCACCTCCCTAGACTGGGTGCTCCAGCAGGCAGGGCCTATCTCCTCCTTTGCCTTCCTTTTGTCTGGACTTGCCTGACACCAGACCTGATACTCTCTCTGTCCCTGCTCTAGACCTCCACTGACACCCTCAAGACAGAGACTCCAGCTCCAACTCTGCCTCTGCCTCCCACGCCTTTGGTCATCAGCACTACTGTGGCCACTGGTAGCAATGTCACCATCCTAGAGGTTGGTGGGAAGTGGACATGGGGCTGGAAGGGAAGGTCCTGGGGTAGTCGTGGTGGCAGACAATGAGGAGGTCAGGGGCAAATTTTGGTCTGTCCCGTTGTCCTCAGGAGGGCCTGGACTCTGACAGTGGACCTGAACTAGGGACTCTGGAGACTGGGTTAGCCAAAGAAGATGAAGAAGGTGGCCCCACCATGGGCCCCCACTTCCGGGCAGCAGAACAGTCATGGAAGACTCAGTTCCAGATCTTTCCTGTGAGTCTGGGTGGCTGGGGGAATCTAGGTGCAAGGGGAGGGACTCCTGACTGGAGCCACACATGGCCACATTTTCTTTTTTGCTTTCTTTTTATCTTGCCTAGAAATCCTTCCCACCACCCCAGTGCAGTTGACAAATATTTATCTACAGACACTGGGTTAATGCGACAGGCACTGTGCTAATGAATGGCCCTGTGATTAGTGTGATTCAGACTTTTAGTCTGAGCATGTTGAGAAGCCACTTGAGATGGAACATGATCTCACTTAGGAGATTTATAAGCTCTTCCTGGCTGCCGAACTGCATGTGGACTGTAGGGGGAGCCAGAGGGGCAGCAGGGAAACCAGTAGCCTTTGCAACAGAGAGTGGGGACCTGGCTGAGGGTAGTGGTGGTTATGGTGGGGATAGAGAAAAGCAGACAGATTTGGGCCATGCCCCACTTTGCTCTTGCCGCTGGAGGTGGAGAAAGATGCAAAGAGGACTGGGTAGATGCACCATGGCACTATTGGGTAAGATGGGGAAGCCTGAAGGGAGAGCAGGTGGAACATGTCAAGGGTCTCGTTTTTGGATGCCTTACATTGGCAACCCCTATTCAGCTGTCAATGTGGGCGATTTGGTTAGAAAATTCTGGAGTTCAAGGAAGATGGTTTAGGTTGTAGATAAAGACTTGGGGTTCATCAGCAGAGGGATGCTATCTTAGTGAAGCGATTGGATGAGATTACCTAAGAACACAATGCAGACAGAAGGTGGCCCAGGTTCTAGCCTTGGTGTTGGACAGGGAAGAAGGTAAATAATCTTAATCAACTTACCCTGAGTGCCTGTTGTGTGCTAAGCACTGTTTTAACTTCTTCACCTTCCTGTGGGATATGTACAGTCGGCATTCACCCGTGGACTTTGCAGGTGAGGCCATAGGAGTTGAATAATTTGCCCAACATCACTTAGCCAGTGAAAGGCAGATCCAGGATTAGGACCCCAGAGCACATGTCAGAGTTCATGCTTTTCACCTTGCTGCAGCATGGCCAGCTTGAAACGCGAGACTGAGTGGCTCAAAACATATTGATTGAAGAAGTACAGCAGAAATAGCTCAGAGGGCGGACTCTACGCGCGCACACGCGCGCGCGTGTGTGTGTGTGTGTGTGTGTGCGTGTGTGTGATGAATGTGATACCAGTCGGATGGGAGCTCTATGTCTGAGTTCCAGGGCTCACACCTCTTTTCTTTCCACCCTCTGCCCCAGGGCACTGGGGAGAAGGGAGAAAAAGGAGAACCGGCTGTGATTGAACAGGTGAGGGTCCCGGGGCTGGAGGAGGGGGAGGGGTCTGGGCTAGATTGGGGGTCACACTCATTTCTCCCCCAGGGGCAACAGTTTGAAGGCCCTCCAGGAACCCCAGGACCCCGAGTGAGTCTTGGCTGCATTCACCTCTTCCTGTCTTTTATTTCCACTTGGGGCATTTGATCCCCTGGGGTGGGGAGTTGGGGTGTAATATTGCCAGGTCATTCAAAGACTGTTGGATATTTGAAACTCGAGGGATGAATCAAAATAGAGATTGAGATGTAAAGTAAGGGGATTTTAAGGTTCAGTATAGTATTGAGAGGCCCGGATGGCTCAGTGATGGGGTAGGAAGATCTGCATGGGATCAGGGTCAGCAGTGGATCGGAAGTTAGCCTCGCTCAGACTCTGCAGTACTCATGACCTTTGTTCCTCTGTTCCCAACAGGGGGTGGTTGGCCCCTCAGGCCCTCCTGGGCCTCCAGGATTCCCTGGCGACCCTGGTCTACCGGTAAGAGACTCCCTCTGGATAACCTTCTGGGGGAGAGAGGTTTCAAGCTGTGGTGCTGAAGTTGGGAGGGTGGCTGGAACCGGGAACATCACCTTCGAGTTGGCACTGACCCCTTTCTGCTCGTCTTTCTCCTTGTCTGAATTATCACTCTGGCTTCTCTTCTGTCCCTGGGGGCCTGTCCCCTGTTTCTTTCCTTCCGTCTCTATCCTTGAGTGTCCTTCATCTCTGTTTTTCTCCCTATGTCTCTGTCTCTTTCTTTATCTCTCTTCTGTCTGTCTCTCTGTTTCTATCTCTTTCGCTTTTTACGACTCTTTCCTCCTCCTTCCATTTCTCTGTCTTTCTCTTGCCCTCTGTCTGCTTTCTCCCTACCTCTATCTTCCCCTGTCTCTCTCTCCTTTCTCTGGCTCTCCCTGCCTCCCTCTGTCCATCTCTCTGCCTTCATCTCTCTCTATCTCTCTCTCCTCCCCTCTATGTTTGTCTCACATCTCCGTTTCTCTCTGTTCCTTCCTGCCTTCATCCTTTCCTCCATCTCTCTGCCTCCATCGGTCTCTTTCTCTCTCCCTCTCTCAGGGCCCTGCTGGCCTCCCAGGAATTCCTGGCATTGATGGAATCCGGGGTTTACCAGGCACTGTGATCATGATGCCGGTAAGAGGAAGCTAGTGTGGCATGGCCTTGGGGGTGGATAGAATTCTGACCCAGGAGGGGGGCCTCTCTTTGTGGCTCCCCTCACTATGAGTTGCCCCTTAGTTCCAGTTTGCAGGAGACTCCCTCAAAGGACCCCCAGTCTCCTTCCAGCAGGCCCAGGCTCAGGCAATACTACAACAGGCTCAGGTGAGTGGAGGACAACTGGGGGACTGACAGCAGGTAAACGGGAGGGTATCAAGAGAATGATAGGGGTGGGAGATAATGAATAGTCAGGAGACAGGTGGGTATTTGTCTCCTGAAGATGTCTTTGTGGGGATGTTGGGAGACTTGTTGGAGACCTGAGGCTCTGTTCCCCTCCTTATCTCCAGCTCTCTATGAAAGGTCCCCCTGGCCCAGTGGGGCTCACAGGACGCCCAGGCCCTGTGGTGAGTAGGGAGGCTTCACAGAGGAGGGGATACATCAGTGGAGAGGGGCGAACTCCCTCTAACTGCACTATGCTGTCTCTCTTCCTGCAAGGGTCTCCCTGGGTATCCAGGTTTGAAAGGAGAGACGGGAGAAATGGGGCCACAGGTGAGACTGGTGAGGGTGGGGATGGGATTGGATGGGAAGGTCTTCTCCTGGGGTTGCAGGATAAAGTGCTAGTTGGGAAAAATGACAAAGAGGTTGGGGGTACCCTTGCAATTACTGCCCTTCCCAGGGAATGATTTAAACTAAGTCCTTCCTCCTTGTTGTTATTCCTTTTCTTCCTCCTTTTCTTTCTCTTCTAGGGTCCCCGAGGCCTTCAGGGACCTCATGGGCCACCTGGCCGAGAGGGAAAGATGGTGAGTGACTCCTTGGTCCTCAGGTCATCCCTTATCCATCTCTCAACATCTCTGACATGAGCCTTAGCTCCGTGCTCCCGGGGTCTGCTGGTGTCATTTGTGGGATAAGACCACTGAGGACAAGTAATGATAGTCCACGGCGGGTGTGGCAAAGGGATCTGTCCAGGTCACAGAGAAAGGGAGGACTTGCCAGAAGGAAAGGTGTTTGAACTGAGATCTGAGGCATAACCAGGGAAACAGGAGAGGAAAGGCATTCCAAGTAGAAAGCACAGCACATGCGAAAGAGAAGACTGGCACGTTGGGGGAAATGATGAACAAGATGGTTCCAGATGGTTTTCAGGGCCATGAGGAACATACAGCAGTGCAATGAATGGAGACTGAAGATGAGGGTTCTTAATTTTTATGATGATGGTAACTTGGACTAGAGAAAGGGCACTTGGGATAAAGAATAATGGATGGGTTTGAAATATATTTGGGAGGTTAAACTGGTACACAGAGAAGCCCCCAGCATGGGATGCTGCATGAGGAAGGTGCTTGATACATGGTAGCAGGTATCTTGATGACGTCACCTCCCCATAGGGCCGCCCAGGAGCAGATGGGGCTCGAGGCCTCCCAGGGGACACAGGACCTAAGGTAGGTGACAGGGCCAGGACTGGGACTTGGAGGGACTGTCAGGGTAGAGGATTCAAGGCTCAGCTGCTGTCTCTTTGTGCAGGGGGACCGGGGATTTGATGGCCTGCCAGGGCTGCCTGGCGAGAAGGGCCAAAGAGTGAGTATCTGAGGCCCCTCCCCCATACTCAAGCCCCCTCCCGGTATTCATTACTCCCTCCCCACCCCCAGTATCAGAGCCTCCGTCCCTGTGTCTCTGTCCTCACCCCACATGACTCATCTCCTTTCCTGAGGTACTGCTCTCCATCCCACCTTTTGACTCTGAACTGCCCTCTGCTCCCCACTCCAGGGTGACTTTGGTCATGTGGGGCAACCTGGTCCCCCGGGAGAGAATGGTGATAAGGTAAGTTTGGAAGAGAGTTAGGGGATGATTTAGAAGCTAGAAAGCCAGAACAAGAGGAGTAGAGCATTCAGGAGACTGGATGAGGGGTGAGGGTCTGCACTGGAGGGTCAGGAGGTCCCAGTAGGGCTCAAAAAGACAGATTGAGAGCTGGGGGTTAGTACTGGAGTTAGGAGGTGAGACTCAGGATTGCAGGCCCAGGATTGGGGTCAGGGGCCTGAACTGAATCACATCTATTCAGGTGCCTGGATCCCGCCACATGCTCTGTCTCTGAGATCCCCTGGGAGGGGCTACCTAGATGAGGGAAGGTGATTCTCCAAGGGTTATACCTCCCCTCTCCCCACGTAATGATGCTTTCCCACAGGGAGCAGAGGGACCTCCAGGGCCCACTGGCCAGGCTGGGGAGCCGGTGAGTATCAGGGACCCCCCGGGCCCCTTGCCTGGCACAGGGGAAGGAGTCAGGATTCACAGGGCCTCAGAGCAGTGATGCTGCAATAATGCTCCTACGTCCTTGCAGGGCCCCCGAGGACTGATTGGCCCTAGAGGCTCCCCTGGCTCCCTGGGACGCCCGGTGAGAATGCCACTGTCTCTCTGCATATCTGTTTGCCCTTTTCTTGCCTTTCTCTCCTCTGCATGTCCATTTCTGTTGCCTGGCTTCTCTGCCTGCTCACCTTTTCACCTGTGCCTCTCAGTGTCTCAGACACAGGCTCCAGTGCATGTGCCTGCCCTGGTCTCACACCCTCTCCTCCCCCAGGGTGTAGTTGGAATCGATGGTGCTCCAGGTGCCAAAGGAAATGTGGTACGTGTTCTGACCCCTGATGCCTTCTGACACTCTGACCCTATGATCATCCATAACCTTGACCACTCCCATGACCCCTCATTTCAACTTCACTGACACCTCAATACAATGATTCTGTTTGGCTTCACAGAACCCTCACTTTCTCCCCAGGGTCCTCCAGGGGAACCAGGCCCTCCAGGACAGCAGGGAAATCCTGGATCTCAGGTTTGAGCTACCTTTCCCAATAATGAAGGGTGGTGGGGCCAGCCAAGGTCATAGACCACTCCTAGCCTCCCCAACCTTTGCACTCACTGCCCCTTTCTCATGCTTCCCTTCTCCCTCTTTTTTGATGTCTTCAGGGAATCCCCGGCCCCCAGGGACCCATTGGCACCCCTGGGGAGAAGGTGAGTGACAGCTCTATCTACCCATCTTCAGATGGAGCTGTGGGTCAAAGACACTTCTAATGAAAGGGGTGTGGGTAGGGAGTCCCCAACCCCAACAAGTCTTTCACACTGTTTTTATATCCCTTGTCTCAATTGTCCCAGAAGCGGAGGATTTCTTAGGCTCAGAGAGGGGAGGGGGCTTGTCCAAGGTCACACAGCAAGTTTGGAAGAGCTGGGGATAGATTTCCTGGCCAGTGGTATCTGTTTTTTCTCTAACCTTGAGGTAGATGCATGTCTGAGTAAAGTTGTTTCTGGTGGAATGCTAGGCTCTGAGCCTCCCTGTCTCCCCCTACTATTCATCGGTTTCAGGGTCCACCTGGAAACCCAGGGATTCCAGGCCTCCCAGGATCCGATGGCCCTCTGGTGAGGACTGAATGCTGGGAGGAGGAAGGAGAAGAGGGAGGGCCTGGGAATCTGGAATGCAAATCAACTTTCTGACAACTTAGAATGTTTTCCTCTCAGGGTCACCCAGGTCACGAGGGCCCGACAGGAGAGAAAGGGGCCCAGGTGAGTGACTTGGAGAGGGGCTGATTTGGGGGTGAAGGTTGGTAGGCAGGGCCAAGAGTCAGGGGCTAATGAGGAGAGAGATGAGGGCACTGGGAACATGGAGGAGAAAAGGGCTGGATGGCAGTAATCTTACCTCTGTCTCAGGGTCCATCAGGATCAGCAGGCCCTCCGGGCTACCCTGGACCTCGGGGTGTGAAGGTAGGTGATACTTGGGGCCTGCAGACAGGGTTGATTCACCAGCATTGACCTCCAGGAGCCGGGTCCATCAGAAATGTCCCCATGTGTGGTGAGAGGAATCAGTCTGCCAGGCAAAGTGTGGTAGGAGTGGGGTTTGGGTCTGAGTGACAATATATAGTAAGGTGTGTGCTACTATGGAGCTGAACAGCCAAAAAGTAGCATTACAGTATAACCGTCACCTTGTGGTTGAGGATAGTTAAACCCACTGGCCGTCAAACTCATTCCACTATGAGCACACACAGCACATCCAAGTCCACGTCAGCACATTGTAGTCAAGCAGAGGATTGTTTTTTCAAGCTCAAACCCAGAGCCACACAATCTACAAGCGCATAAATGCTGGGACAAGCTGAGAGCTGTACTGTACTGCTTACAGATTCATTTTTAACCAAGTGAAGGGACATGGGGACTCACATCTATATGGTAGCCAGGTTTAGTTACATTGTAGCCAAGTACAGGTACCCATTACCGGTGGTCTAAGAACAGAGTTTGGTGGTAGCCAAGAGCCAGCTCCTTACATTTTTGCATTGTAGACAAGCTCAGTTACACTATAACCAAGGAGGTAGCTATACTGCAGCTGGCAACAAAGTCCTGTGGGTGTCCAAACTCAGAGTTCCATTGTAGCCAGGCATGGTTTTATATATTCATACATCATTGAAGGCTGTGTTGTTACTCAGTCTAGTTACTTGGCAACCATGGCCAGAGAACAGCTGTAGCCAAGCTTGGTTGCTTTGTGGTCAATGAATTGCCGTATGGCTAGAGACAGTCATGCTATTGTCAAAACACAGTTATGTTGTATTCAACTACAATTTCATTTCAGTCCCTGAGCTCAGTTATACTGTAGCCAAGTGCAGCTTTTCTCGTGGCCCAAGTCCAGAATTCCATGTGAGCAGCAACTGGGCTTGTACTGAGCAGTCTCACTGTAGCCAAGCACAGACTTGCCTTGTTGCCAGGCACAGAATCGCATTGTAGCCAGCACAATGGGAAACATTCCTTTGCCTTTAGAATGAGGCCGGAGCCTGGAATGTTCATCCTCTCTCTGTTGCCAGAAGGAACTGTGGACACAGTGTCCCTGGGAGATGGGAATCAATTACTCGGAAATTTGGCCTTCCCTGCACACCCCCACACAGATGACCTTGGGAAGCTGCCAGTGGGAAGGGGAGGGGGAGAGGCAGCATCTTGCACACTACACGAGCAGACTTTAGGGAAAGATAATTTCCTCTCTGGCTGCCCCTGCCCTCCTCCAGTCCCACATCCTTTTGGGACTGTTCTGGCTATTTCAGGGCAGGGGACTGAGTTTAGGGCCCTTCTGAAACAGGGAGGGGAACTGAAAGCTTTTTAAAATTTTTTCAGGGTACCTCTGGCAACCGAGGCCTCCAGGGGGAGAAAGGAGAGAAGGTGAGAAGGGAAGGGATTCCTTGGGAGCAGAGCCTTAATAATGGGGCTCTGGCTGTGCCCCTTCTCTGAACCCCGACCTCTGATCTCCGTACTATCTTCCACCCAGGGAGAAGATGGCTTCCCAGGCTTCAAGGGTGATGTGGGGCTTAAAGGTGATCGGGTAAGACAATCTCTAGAGGACGGGCCTGGTGGATCTGGGGGACTTGTGAAAGACAGGGAGGGGTGAGCAGAGGCTAAGATGGGGGTCAGTGGGAGCAGAAGTGACAAAGGGGCTGATATCAGGGCTTCTCCTTTCTATTCCAGGGGCACCCTGGACCCCCAGGTCCTCGGGGAGAGGATGGTCCTGAAGGGCTGAAGGGGCAGGAGGGGCTGGCTGGTGAAGAGGGGCCCCCAGGTTTAGCTGGGGAGAAGGTGAGTGGACCTGGTCACCTCCTCCAGTCTATACCCCAGCTTCCCTTCCTGCAGTCAAGATATTCCCTGGCCCTTTGCCTTCTGCCCTCTGCTCTTTTATTTCCAACTTCAGAAGGCCATCAGCTCCTTCAGTTCCTCAGCTCAGCTTTACAGAGCAATTCCATGCACATTATCTATGTTGCCCCCACAACCACTACAGGCAACAGGCATTTTTACACCCATTTTACAGACAAGGAAAATGAGATTAGAAATGCTTGAGTGAGCTGCCCAAGGACATGCCCCTAGCAGGCAGGAGCCAGGACTTGAGCTTATGTTCCCTGATTCCCACACCACTACCCCTGCCATCATGCCCCAGATATCCTGCCCCTCCCCCACCGACCTCTAGGTTGCAATCTCTGACCTTTGTCCTATAATCTCTCTGCAGGGCAAGCTTGGGGTGCCGGGTCTCCCAGGTTATCCAGGACGTCCAGGCCCTAAGGTCAGAAGCTAGGAAGAGGGTGGTGGGCAAAGGCAGAGGGTTCAGAGACTGAAAAACATCTGGGGGTCTGTGCTATGGTCTGGGGGTGAGAGCTGTCCATCCCATGGGTCATTGAGGGCATAAGATGTGAGCTTTGGCATCAGACAAACTTGGGCTTAAATACCCAATCCTTACCTGCTAAGTAAACTTGAACGAGTCTCTTGAGTCCGTTTTATCAGTTGCAAAATGGAGATATCAACAGTATCTACCTCACCAATTTGAATATAATAATGTTGATGATTTTGATAATAAAACTGTTGGATCTTTCTTATTTGGTATGATTGAGGTTCAAACAAAAAGCCAGCAGGGAGGAGAATCATAAAAAATACACATCTTACATCTCTTAAATTAATTATAACTTACAATAAAATGTAATTAAGTAAAAATGTGCATTTGGTTGCCAATATTTTGAGGGATGAGGTTATTGATAAGCATGTCTTTCTGCCAAAGTCACACCCATATTACATCACAGATGATTTACACTTTGTGTTTATATAAAGTGGAGCAGAAACTTAAAGACACTTGAAAGGAAATCTGAGTATAGAGTCTTTCCAGAATTCCACACCTTTGCCAACTTGATCTGGCACAGGTATCTTTCCCATGCCTAATTTGACAGTGATTTTTTTTATAGTGACTTCCCTTTATATCAAGTTTTTTCCATTTAACTTAGATTTGATAAATATCTTTCTTTTTATTTTTTTCATCATTTTTGGTAAACTTTCACTAAGTCCCATGACTCCAATAGCAAGGTCAACTGACATAAACAAGTCACTGAAACTAAGAGCTAAACTCAGCCTGTTGGAGCAGAAGTTCAAGGGAGTTAGAACAGAGCCTCCAAGCCAAGACTGATCAGTGTGTCTCGGGCATCAAGCAATGAATACATTACAGGAGGCTTGGTGTGTCAGTTAAGTTGAGGTCAGTGTCCTAGGCAGCTGGAGCTGCTGCAACAAAAATACCTTAGGCTGGATGGTTTAAACAACAGAAATTTGTTCTGAAGGCTGGAAGACTAAGGTCAGAGTGCCAGCATGATTGGCTTCTGGCGAGGGCTGTTTTCCTGGTTTGTAGATGGCTGTTTTCTGTCTCTGTCTTCACATGGTAGGGGGAGAGGGAGAGAGAGGGAGAGAGGGAGAAATCTAGTCTCTTCTCTTCTAAAATGGGCACTAATCTCATTCATGAGGGCCCCACCCCCATGACCTACTTATTTCCCAAAGACCTCACCTCCAAATATTATCATACTAGGGATAGGGGCTTCAACATATGAATTTTTGGAGGACACATTCAGTCCTTTGCAGTTAGTAATAATCAGCATGAATAACAAAAATGACAGCTAACATTTCTTGAGCACATACAGTGTGCCAAGTACTTTGTTAAAAAAAAAAACACTTTCTATACATTTCCCACTTAATCCTCACCAAAACCTTGTGAGGGAGGTATTGTTGGTACCCCCAGGGTACAAATAAGGAGACTGATGCTCAGAGAGGTTAAGCCATTTGTCCAAGGCCACACAGCTAGTCCAGTGGTGGATCTAGGATTCAAAACACAGTGAGGGGTGACAGGGATATCAGAGTCTGTGACGTCTTCCCCCAGGTCGAGGGAGGATGCCTCCAAGATGGTAAGTGCTGCTGTGCGCCAGGCAGTGGGGAATAAGACCAGAGCACTAGATCCTAGTCATTGAATAGGTGAGCAAGTGAACAAGGCCATTTCAATATGAATATTATGGGGAAAACAAAACAGGACAATGTGATAGAGCATGACTTGAGGATGTGATGGTCAGGATGGTGGCAGAAGGCTTCTCTAGCAGGTGACATCTGAATGACGTCTAAATGATGAGGAGTAGCAACCCTATGGGCATCTGAGAGCAGAGCACATTAGGCAAAGGCAGCCAATGCGATGGCCCTGAGGCAGAAGTGTGCTGGTGCCTGAGTAGCATTAAAGAGGATAGTGTGGCTGGAATGGGTCAACAAGGTGGGGGGGAGAAGAGGAGGGTGGAGGGCTGCCTTGGAGGAGGCTGGGGCTGGAGGGATCAAAGAAGCTTCTGGAATCAATGATCTGGAAATGCCTGAGAGGATGGGGTGGCTGAATGGGGTGAGGGGCCAACATTGCCCACTACCCGTCACCTTCATTTTGTCTCTCTCATTCTCTTGGCCTAGGGATCTATTGGCTTTCCTGGACCCCTGGGACCATTAGGAGAGAAAGGGAAACGGGTGAGTCATGATCCAGGGGTGAGGGGAGAAGGGGTCTTGTATGAAAGGGGAAGAGCATGTGTGGCTGTGCATCATGGCAGGTGGGGCCCTGGGTGGCTGTGTCTATGCCTGGAAGCACTTGTGTGCATACATAGTCCCATGTGCAATGCAGGGCACATGTAGGTGATCTCACTGGGCACTACAGCACACGTGTGCATGTGCACCCCATGTGCTTCTTGGTGCAGAACACATGCAGTCTGAGTGCTGCAGCCGAGGGGCTTGTGACCAGGTGAACAAGGGCACCTGCTGCATGTACACTGTGTGACCGTGGGCATAAATGTGTGAGGGGCATGTTGATGTGTGTGACAGAATAAGGAAATACACATATGTGTGTTTCTGCGTACATGTGTAGCTGAGTCAGTGGACATGTGTGGAAGCCCATGAGTGTACATATACTGTTGTATTTATCAAGACTGTGTCCTCACATGGATCCATGCATGTATGTGTTTACATTGGGTATACACATGTGCAAGGGACATACTACATGGCATGACAAGCTCCTTGTGTCGACCTGAGGCTGTGATTGCCCCTTGTGTGCCTTGATGGCATGTAGTCACGCGTGCATACCATGCAGCTGTGATAAATAAGTGTCCATGTGAGTGAACACGCTTGTATGTGTGGACCTTATAGGTACAACATACATATAATTGGGTGTTTATGAACTTTGTGTGGTTGCATGTGTAAGTTGTATTTACATGTGTGTGTGAATGAAAGGCTTGTGAGTGAATGAGTGGCAGACGTCCTTCCAGGTCTCTGACTGGGTGCATTTGTGTGTTTGTGTCTTTGCATCATGAGTCTTTTCTGCTTCCCCCTCACCTGATTTATGTTCCAGGGGAAGGCAGGGCAGCCAGGCCTGGAAGGAGAGCGGGGACCACCAGTAAGAAAATGGAGAGCTCGCCTCACCCCACTGGGCTGTAGTGGGGCAGGGCTGGAAGGAGGGGTAGCGAGAGGGGAGGTGGTGGGGAGGTCTTGAGCAGGTGGGAAGAGGGTTTGGGTTAAGTCGGTGTCCCTGGTGTGACAAGAGGTGGTCACAGAGGTAGGAAACCTGGAAGACTTGGCCTCATCTCCTGGATTCCCCCACCCTCTCACTTCTAACCTTTGCTTCTTTTCTACTCAGGGCTCCCGTGGAGAGAGGGGGCAACCAGGTGCCACGGGGCAGCCAGGCCCCAAGGTATGGGGTGGGTGGGCAGTCAGGTCCCCCCATGCAGGCTCTCTGCCCCAGGCCCACCCAGTCCCTTCCTGTTGAGTATGTTCTGTAGCCTGAGTCTCATTCACTCTCTCTTAGGGTGATGTGGGCCAGGACGGAGCCCCTGGGTTCCCTGGAGAAAAGGTGAGTGAGTGTGAGTGAGTGCGTGTGTGTGTGTGTGTGTGTGTGTGTGTGATTTGGGGTGGGAGACAAGCCCAGAAAATGGGGAGACATTATAACACAGAATGTGAAAAGAGCAAGACTCTGAAGTAGAGAGCTGTGAGTTCAAGTCCTAGCTCTGCCCCCACTCCCCTGCTATTGGGCAAGTCACTTAATTTCATTGTGCCTCAGTTTCCCCTTCTATAAAATGGGAGTAACCACAGTCCCCCATCCCAACGGACTGCAGTGGCAATGAAATGACTTCCTGTGTGTACAATGTCCAGCCTGCAGGAGGTGCCTATGTTGCTTCTTTTCATCGTGTGGGACTTGGGCAGACAGGAGGGATGACATAATGGCTTCTGCTTCCATTTCAGGGCCTCCCAGGTCTGCAAGGCCCTCCTGGGTTCTCTGGACCAAAGGGTCCCCCTGTAAGTGAGCTCACCTTGCTTGAGTGGGGAAGGCGAGCCAGGCAGTGGGAAGACACCGTATTTGTGCTTCAACTCTCTCCCATTTTGTCCCTCAGGGCCCCCAGGGGAAAGACGGGCGACCTGGGCACCCTGGACAGAGAGGAGAATTGGTGAGCAAACTCTTAACCTCTGACCCCTGAACCCATTAGGCTCTGCATTCTTCCCCTCCATGATACCCCCTTTGAATGTTTCTCCTCAGGGCTTCCAAGGTCAGACAGGCCCACCTGGACCAGCTGGTGTTGTGGGTCCTCAGGTCAGAGTGGACCCCTCAAGTTTCCCCAGTTTTGCACCAGTTGGGGGATATCTGGGAGGGGGTGGACCTCAGATAGACCCCCACCCCAACCCTAACACACCTCTCTTCAAGATAAGCCTTCTTCTTCTCCAGGGCAAGACAGGAGAAGCAGGGCCTCTGGGTGAAAGGGGGCCTCCAGGCCCCCCTGGGCCTCCTGGTGAACAAGGTCTTCCAGGTCTGGAGGGCAGAGAGGGGGCCAAGGTGAGACCCTGCCCCATGGGAGATCTTGTCAAGGGGCCCCAAAGTCCCTGGATGGTCCCACGCCACCTCCAGACTGAGAATCAGCCCCAGTGGGGGTGGGGGCCCAGACTCGCAGATTAGGAGGAGACACCCCCTTCTCTGAAGCCTGACCCCCCCCTCCTCTGCACTCCTGCAGGGGGACCTAGGACCACTGGGACCCCTTGGGAAGGAAGGACCACCTGGACCCAGGGGCTTCCCTGGTCCCCAAGGAGCCCAGGGGGACCCAGTGAGTATGGTTTGGAGCCCCTCCTGCATGTGGCTGGGCTGAAACAGAGAAGGAAGTGGGGGGTGGCCAGGACAGGGACATGGCCATGGTATCTTGGGCAGGGGCAACCTTGAGAGTAAAAGGACGGCTACAAGAGGGGACAAGAGGCCTGGGGGGGACAGATCCCTGAACCTCAGCGCCTGGGAAGGGGTGGGAACTCAGTCCCCCAGAGTGAAGACAGGACCTGGGGGCACCTTTGGGGGTCTCAACTGTGAATCATCTTCTCCTGCAGGGACCTACTGGTTTGAAGGGTGATAAGGGCCCCCCAGGCCCCATTGGGGCCAACGTAAGTGTAAACCCATCTGCTGGGGTTGGGGGGCAGGGAGTGGACGGAGAGGGGTAGGATGGAGAGGCCCCAGGGTACCCAGGAAGCTGGGCATTGTCATGATTTAAGTCCACTATTCTGGGAGCCAAACAAGCCTGGCTCAAGCCCGGCTCAAGCCCAGCTCTGCAGATCACTGGCCGGGCAGCCGTGTCACTCCACGAGCCTCAGTCTCCTTGTCGGTAAAACAGTCCCCTCTCCCAGATGATCATAAATCTCAATGAGATGATCCTTTGGACATATATTCAAACTCCGTTCCAGACATCAGCATTTAAAAACCTCCTTTGTCCTGGAGTTTATAACCTAGTCAGGGAGAGAAGGAATCAGCGGTGATGAATGCCGCAAAGGAAAATAGCACAGAGAAGGGGGAGCAGGGGAGAATTTTTGAAATAAGCTGGCCTGGGAAAGCCTCCTGAGAAGGTGACATTTGATCTGGGAGCTGAAGGAGGTGAGGGAGGAGCTATGTGGATGCCTAGGGGAAGGGTGTGCCAGGCAGAAGGAGCAGCATGTGCAAAGTCCCGAGGCTGGAGGAAACAGAGGAGGCTAGTGTGGCTGGAGGGGAGTGAGCGAGGGTGAGTGGGAGGAGGTGAGGGCAGAGAGGAGATGGGGTAGGTCGTGCAGGGTTTTATGGGTTTCCAGGAGAAGTCTTTTTCTCCAAGTAAGATGGGAGCCATGGAGGGCTATGGGCAGAGGAGGCACCATACTGTGATGCAGGTGTTGACATCACCTTCTGGCTGCTGTCCCTACACAGCAGCCAGAGATGATATACCACCTCAGTGCCCTTGAAAACCCTCCAGTAAATGAGAACTACTACTATTGTTATTATTCCTGACCCTTCACCCCTGTTTTCAGGGCTCCCCTGGGGAGCGTGGTCCTGTAGGCCCAGCAGGCGGCATTGGGCTTCCTGGCCAAAGTGGAGGCCAAGGCCCTGTTGGTCCCACGGGTGAGAAGGGGTCCCCGGTAAGTGCCTGCCCAAGCATCCCCAGGACCCAGCCCTCCACATACCAGGACCTCACTCCTGCCCTGGACCCTGATGTACCTCCTTCCACTCCCCGCTCAGGGTGAACGTGGACCCCCTGGTCCCACTGGCAAAGATGGGATCCCAGGGCCCTTGGGGCTTCCTGGACCCCCTGGAGCTGCCGGGCCTTCTGGTGAGGAAGGGGACAAGGTGAGAGAGAGTTCATGGAGCGGGAGGGACTGGGGGAGGCCGCAGGTATTGGGAGGCTGGGTCCTTCCTCATCCTGTTTCCTCTGCAGGGGGAAGTGGGCTCCCCTGGTCACAAGGGCAGCAAAGGCGATAAGGGAGATGCGGTGAGTGGGGGGCCCCAGTGAGCCAGGTGGTCCTTGGAGAGGGGAGAGGAATGTGGAGGATGAGGGGAAGCTCATGGAACTTCCTGCCTTCTTGAGCCCTCGGAAGTAACAGAAGCCATTCAAACTAGCTGGAATGAAGGGGCCAATCGCATCCCCAGCCTCCCTCCAGGAACTCAGCCCAGCGCCCAGGGTCAGGGAGCCAACTCAGTCCCTGGGCCTGGTGGGACTTCTGGGCAAACGTCCTGATGGGCCAAGCTTAGGACAGAGGCTGTGCCTGGTCCTATCAGTTGGTGGCTAGGAGGATAGGGTTTGGGAAGGAGAATGCAGCTTCCCAGTGCAGGGAGTGGACAGGGTTACAATGACTGCCATCTTTAGTGTCCACCCCCCGACAATCTTGAACCTGAGGGGTTTGTCTACTCGGTTCCTTCCTCCAGGGCCCACCTGGACCAACAGGGATACGGGGTCCTGTGGGACACCCAGGCCCCCCGGTGAGTGCTCCCAGCTTTGTGACCATCTCCTGGATCCCCAATAGGAAGGAACAGTGTCCTCCACTGTGACTCAAGTGCAGACTCAACCTCAACCCTGATCTATACCTCCCTGCCAGCACCCACCATGAACTCACCCCGGAATCCGACTCAACCCCAAACTCATTCCTAACCCTGAACCCTGTCAGAGCCCTAATCTCAGCGTTGCTTGTGCCCTTAACTTCAATCCCAACTCAGACCTAACCTTCACATCCCCTATCAGTCAAACCCTGACCCACTCCTGCCCTTAATCCCAGCCATGACCTACCCTCCAATGCTGATCCCAAACTGAGCTCAAACTCTGAGTCTACCTTGGCCTTGACCTCAGACCCATCCCTACCTCTCAACCCCATCTGGACCTTAACTGACTTCAACCTGACCCTGACTCATCACCCCATGCCCATCTTGAAATGGGAAACTCAACCCTTGATTTCATTCCTGAACTCTGACCCTTAACTTGCACCCCCAACTTCAAACCCAACCCTGACCCTCCCCAAACTTAATCTCGGCCCTGAACCTTAGTCCTGACTTTGGCCCTGAGCCTGTCTCCAACCCTTGACCCATACCCTAATTGTGTCCTGCCCTGTCTTTCTCCCAGGGAGCAGATGGGGCTCAGGGACGCCGAGGACCCCCTGGCCTCTTTGGGCAGAAAGGAGATGATGGAGTGAGAGGCTTCGTGGGAGTGATTGGCCCCCCTGGCTTGCAGGTAGGTGTCTGACTTTGGGGGTTTGGCCTCTGGTTCCCCCTACTTTGTGCCCCAATCTTGCTTCTTTGTTCCACAGGGAATGCCAGGCCCTCCTGGAGAAAAGGGGGAGATTGGAGACGTAGGGTCCATGGTATGGACAATGGGGGAAATGTGGGGTGTGGCAGGGCAGGGGTGGTCATTACATCGATTTGGGGGTGATTATAGGGTACACTGTCATTTTTTTTTCTTTGAGTAAAGGTAGATTTAGTCAAAGAGATATATTGAAAGGCAAGCGAAAGGCCACAAGGTATGGGGGTTGGGTGCTCAGATTAAAAGTAGGTACATACTCCAGAAACAGAGTGCGGGCCGTCTCGGGTACATCGTCATTTTAAGGATGCTGTGGGTCACCAGCATGAAGGGTGGTGTTTGTGGTTACTGGGGCCCTTTGAGGGGTCATGGGGTCACTGGATGCCATTCTGACTGTCCCATAGGGTCCCCATGGAGCTCCAGGCCCTCGGGGTCCCCATGGCCCCAGTGGATCAGAGGTGAGGACTCTGGGGGAGGGGAGGATGCCTCAGAGATGAGGACATCCCTTTCCCAAGAAGAGGCTCTTGAGATCCCACAGTCCCACCTCTACCCCTTGCTGTCTCTCCAGGGTCCTCCTGGGCTGCCTGGAGGAGTTGGTCAGCCAGGCGCTGTGGGTGAGAAGGTGAGAGAGAGAACAGGGGGCTGCATGGGATGGAGGAAGCACAACCAGTTCTTCCTGGGGTGGGTGTTCTGGGTGCTAGGATGGGACCTCTCCTCACCCTCACTTTGCCTCCTGCAGGGTGAGCCAGGGGAGGCTGGTGACCCAGGACCCCCAGGACCTCCAGGCATCCCTGTGAGTGACTATCCCGTGACCCTGCGCCCATCTCAGGGAACCGTGGACTCCTGGGCATCTTGGGCTACCTTGGCCTCTTGGCAGCCCTAGGTCATCCACTGACCCAGGACCTATGGGCATCCCTGGTTATTGATGACAAAGCCCTGGAAGGTGTCAGGGCTGCTGCATAGAATTATCTAGGTTGTACATTGCACAAGGGTGTGGGGCCAAGGGGGCAGGTAGGACTCAGATCTAAACCATGAGCCCTGGCTTGGGTGTAATCTGCCCAAACGGGACCCGTTTTCTGGTTCAATCCTGGGTGGCTCTTGGGCTAGACTAACCTTGCCCATGACCTCTGGGCAACTGGATCATCCTGACCCCTAACTCCTAGATTCAATTCTAGATTCCTCTGACCTCTGACCCTTGGGTAGTCTAGGCTACTCTGACCCCTAACCCAGGAAAGTCCCAGGTCACCCAGATTCCTGAGTCCAAGTATGCTAACCCTTGACCCTGGTAAGTCCAGGCTACTCTGACCTCTGACCTCTGACCTCTGTTTCTGCATAGGGTCCCAAGGGAGAAATTGGTGAAAAGGGGGACTCTGGCCCATCTGGGGCTGCTGGACCCCCAGGCAAGAAAGGCCCCCCTGGAGAGGATGGAACAAAAGGGAATGTGGTAAGTCCTGGGAGACATGGAGGCAGAGATGGAGGAGGGGCACATGTGTCAACCTGCTCCCCAGTCTCTAGCCAGGGTCCCGTCCTCCAGTGTGCTGATTCTGTGAGCAACCCAGGACATGACTGAACGAATGAATGGCTGAGTGCAAAAAAGGAATCAATATAAAAATACAGTGGTTGTATATTATTGCAGCAGGGGACACTTGCTTCTGCACGGAGTCATTCTAACAATACTGGAGAGGTCAGGGTTGAGACTGATGCTGGGTCAGAGCTGGCTAATGGGGGATTTGCCATCAGGGTGGAGGCTGAGCCCCTTCCCCATGGAGGTGGGGCTTGGGATGGGGAGGGAGGGCAGCGAGGACCTTCAGAGTGCGAGGGACCTTGAATCTCAGCATGTCCGTGTCTGCTCTCTAACTCTTTGAGGTCAGTTCTTCCTGTGAGCTAGGAGGACCAGGTGAGATGATGCATGGAATGTTCTTAGCTGACATTCAACACAAGAATGTTCCTTCTACCACAGCTGGGATTTTGTGTTGTGTTCACCAATGTATCCCCAGCAACCAGAGCTGTGCCTGGGCACGATTCATCTGTTAAATGAATGGATGAATGCTTCATCATTCAGGGATGTGGTTATTTGTCATTCTGTGTTCCAGGGCCCCACAGGGCTCCCAGGAGACCCGGGTCCCCCTGGAGACCCTGGAGTTTCAGTGAGTATGACCCCTTCTTCCCCAAAAGCCCAGCACTTTCCCTATTCTGTCCCTCATCTCTCACCTCCCAAAAGACCTGGGCAAGGTTGGTAGAGCAGATAACCTTCACTTTCTTCCAAACCTCTCCCCCAAACTCCCCCAAATTCAAGCCCCCATGACTCCTCCCAACTCTGTCCCCACCACCACAGGGTCAAGATGGCTCCCCAGGGGAGAAGGGAGACCCTGGTGATGTTGGGGGACCGGTGAGTGGGTGAACAAAGGATGTTGATGCCCGAAGAGGGGGGTTGGGACTTGGGAGTGGGTGAATTGGGGTGCTGGGTGCGTGGGTTAATGAAGTATCCAGGGCCCCATAGATGCACCTGTGTTGCCTCTGTGTGGTCTCACCGTGAATGAGCAGCTTGAGGGAGGAGATGGGAGATGACTGGGGCTGGGGTGATGTTTGGGGAAGATGGTCTTCGCATCAAAGTCATCCTGAAACCATCATCCTCCACTATCCTGGTGTTTAAAATCTCCATAGGGTCCACCTGGCGCTTCTGGGGAAGCTGGCCCCCCGGGGCCCCCTGGCAAAAGGGTAAGTGATGACCTGCCTCCTGGCAGCCCTCCTCCAACTTTGTCCCACTCACTCCCAAAGACCCCCACTCATCCCCACACAGCTCCCTACTCACCCCACATGTCCCCCACAAGACCCTAATGGCCCCCCACTCACACTGTCTTTCCCTCCTCAGGGTCCTTCTGGTCGCATGGGTCGAGAAGGCAGAGAAGGGGAGAAAGGCGCAAAAGTGAGTGCCCCCCGCCCACATGGGTCCTTGCCCTGACCCCTCGGCCAAAAAATGGGTGCCCCAGTTCCTTCCTCCCCCCTGATGGTCCTTGGCTGTATATCAGGAGGCAGCCACCCCTGACTCTCTCTGCTCTCCCTGTCTTTTTCAGGGGGAACCAGGTCCTGACGGGCCCCCAGGGAGGACAGGCCCAGTAGGGGCTCGAGGGCCCCCTGGGCGTGTAGGGCCTGAGGGTCTCCCAGGGATTCCTGGTCCTGTGGTGAGTGTGGCAGGAGTGGGGACACAGGAGCAGGGGTGGGGATGGGCCCTCCCTGTGTGCTCCCACCTTGTAATTTCTCACCACTATTGGGACGAGCTGACCCTGATCGAGGTGGGGGTCTGGAAGAGTACAGCTCCCCCATGTTCTGTTTTGCCCTAGGGTGAACCAGGCCTCCTGGGACCTCCTGGACAGTTGGGACCCCCTGGCCCCCTGGTAAGAGGCTTCTTTGTCCCTGAAGTCCCAGCACTGAGAACCACACTGGGCACCTAGTGACCACATAGTGGCCATGGGTGTTGATGCTCATTGACTATCCATCTGATGGTCCACCCTGATCATCTGAACCAACTATCTCTTCTGACTACTCATCCTAATGGTCTACACTAATCATCTACACTGACCCTCTGTCTTGATAGTCTACACTGGCCCTCCATTTTGGTGGTCTACATTGACCAAACTGACCATCTAGCCTGATAGTCTACACTGACCGCCCACACTAATGTTGACCCCTGCCACTCATATAGGCCATCCTCCAATAAACTCCTTCATTCATCTCTCATCATCCATCCTCCCTCTTGACCATTCCCTTGACCACATCCCTGGTAAGTCCATTTGAAATCTGGATAATTTCCCATTTGATCATCTCCCAGGCACTCACATAGACCTTGAGGCTTCATGTTGGAGACTCACCAACTGACCCTAACTCTCTTTTCAGGGGCCGTCTGGCCTTCCAGGGCTGAAGGGAGATGCTGGCCCCAAGGGGGAAAAGGCAAGGATACCTCCTTCCATTATTCTCCTCCCCCATTTACCTCCTTTTCCTCCACCTTTACCTCCCTCCCTAGCCAGAGGGCTAGGAGATTGGAGTCTCCTCTTTTCCCAAACTCACTACCCCAAAGCTCTAGGAGAAAAGTTCCCTGCCCCCCCTTCTCTTTTGAGACTCTTTTTATGACCCTTTTGTCCTCCAGGGCCACATCGGATTAATTGGCCTCGTTGGCCCCCCTGGGGAGGCTGGTGAGAAAGGGGATCGGGGGTTGCCAGGAGTGCAGGGCCCCCCTGGCCTCCAGGGAGAACCTGTGAGTGTGTGTCCTGCTCTGAGTGGGAAGAATGTGTTCAAAGGAAAGGGTGGGTGGAAAGGCAGAACTGGGGCTTATATGGAGACTGTGGGTGTGGGGATTTGGGAAGCCTGCATCTTGAATAATAGGGGTTGTATCTGGGGAAAATGGGGGGCTCTCTCTGGGGACTTGAAGGTTGAAGGCTGTGTCTGGGGTTTGGGGTCTTCTTTTGAGAGGACTGGAGGCTTGCTTGGGGGATGTGTCTGAACCAAAGGGATGAACCCCATCAGTGATGGCTTGGATGTCCTTTCTCCAGGGCTCTCCTGGTCCCATCGGCTCTCTGGGCCACCCTGGGCCCCCAGGTGTGGCGGTGAGTATGTGGGGTTTGTAGGGTGGAGACACCTTGTTGGGCCAGCCAGGACTCAAGCTCTCACTGTCTTCCCGACAGGGTCCTCTAGGACAGAAGGGCTCAAAGGGGTCCCCGGTGAGTACTCATCATTCCCTTGGGCTCCCACATCCCAGCTCCCCACCCCCCTTCACTGCACCAGAATCCTCAGTGCCTTTGCATTCATTTATTTATTTATTCAATCAGTCAGACATCCAACAAATATTTATTCAACACCTACCATTGTATTTTATCAAATCTAAGATGCCATCAGTTGTAAGATGCACCATTCTTTTATAAACTGCCATGGAAAAAAACAGTTCTTCCAAGTAAACTATGACTCACCAAAGATGTTAAGATGCTGAGTTCAAAGGTGTTAAAATATGGACAGAAAATGTGCATTGTATGCTTGGTGCTGAAAACTCCTTCCCCCAGTGCTGTGTGTGTGTATGTGTTGGCGGGCAGGGGTCTCCATAGACAGAGTTCACACCCAAATGACTTCTCCCTACAGGGATCCCAAGGTCCCCGTGGAGACACTGGACCCCCAGGCCCCCCAGGCCCCCCTGTGAGTTCCCCGGAGGGAGGGGCTATGTTGGACTGTCCCCCTTTGAGTCCCTCAGTGCCCGGAACTGGGCGGGGCACACACCAAGTGTTCAGGGGCTGCAGGTGGGGAGGGAGGTGGCTCAAAAGTGGAAGGGGGATCTGGGCTGTGAGGGGCTGGTTAGAGGGAACATCCATGAGGGCTCTGACTGGGTCTTGTCTCTGCATCTCTCCTGGCCTTTCTCTGTCTCTATGGCAAACACTTGTTTCACTATTTTGTCTGTTTCTTTTTTCTGGGCTCTCTCTCCCCCCTTTGCCTCACTTTATGATTCTTTTTTTTCCCTTTGTTCTAACCACTTCGGCCTCTCCGCATCTCTGAACCGTTCTGTCTCCTTGTGTCTCTGTGTCTCTGACTGTCTATCTTCCGCTGTTCCTGTCTGGATCTCTCCCTCCCTTTTCCTCTCCCTGGACCCCTGTATCCTCTGCTTCCCCCGTCGCTCATTTCTGCCTGCCTCTTTCCGCATCTCTTCCTCCTGCGTGTCTGCGCTGCTCCTCTCCTCCGTCCCCACCGCTGCCCAGGGTCCCTCTGCCGAGCTACACGGGCTGCGCCGGCGCCGGCGCTCGATCCAGGGACCGGGGGCCCTGGAGGACGGCCTGGAGGAGGTGCTGGCTTCGCTCACGTCTCTGAGCATCGAGCTGGAGCAAATGCGGCGCCCTCCAGGCA